ACAGAAAACTTCCCTAACTCGGTGAAGGAAATAGACATACAAGTCTAAGAATTGTAGAGAATCACAAAAAAGATGAACCTAAAGCAGCACATACTAAGAGACATCATAATTAAAATGCAAAATGGTGCTTTGGCCAGTGCTATGAAGTGATTAGAGCATTGGCATGCACATTGGAGGGTTGCAGATTCGATTCCAGGGCAAGGGCATGTGCCTGGGTTGTGGGTTCACTCCTTGCCTCTGGTCAAGGTGCATGTGGGAGGCAGCTAGTTAATGTGTTTCTCTCACATTAATGTTTCCCTCTCTCTCTCTCCCCCTCCCTCCTTACTTCCCTCCTACTCTCTCTAAAAAGCAATTGGAAAAATATTCTCAAGTGAGGATAAAAGGAAAGAAAAAAGAGAAAGAAAAGTGTAAAATGGTTAAAGACAAAGAGTGAGCCTTAAAAGCAGCAAGAGAAAAGCAATTAGTTAGCAACAAGGGAGCACCCATAGATCTGTCAGCAGATTTTTAAACAGAAACTTTGAAGGCCAGAAGGGATTGGTAAGAAATAATCAAAGTTCTGTAGAGCAAGGACCTACAACCAAGATTACTCTACCCAGCAAAGCTATCATTTAGAAATGAAGGACAGATGAAGAGCTTCCCTGACAAGAAAAAGTTAAAGGAGTTCATTACTACCATGCCAGTATTATATGAAGCTAGAGGCCCGATGCATGAAATTTTAAAAAGAGCACAGGCGATCTTAAAAGTTCTGATCAAAAGAAAAAAAAAAATGTAACTATATGTGTTGATGGATGTTAATGAAATGTATTGTAATAATTTCTCAAAATACACATATATCATCATTATGTTGTACACTTAAAATGAATACAATGTTATGTCAATTATATCTCAAGGTGAAAATTTACACTTATATGGAGAGATAAGGCTGTCATGATGTTAACCTATAATCAAGGTTAGCATTCATGGATAGTAGGACCTTGATATCATCTACTGCCTGATGTGATGCAATAAGAGTATTGTATACAATATTACCAGAAAAATACAATCATTGATAAAATAATCAAACAAATATAATTAGGTGGAAAAGTTCTATCTAGATCAAATGATATAACTAAATGCAATGGGTAAATCTTTTTTTATTTTTTTATTATATATTTTATTGATTTTTAACAGAGAGGAAGAAATGTCGATGAGAGAGAAACATCGGCCAGCTGCCTCTTACACATCCCCTACCGGGGATGCGCCCACAACCAATGTACATGCCCTTGACCGGAATCGAACCTGGGACCCCCCAGTCCACAGACCGACGCTCCACCACTGAGCCAAATTGGCTTCGGCACAATGGGTAAATCTTGACTGCATCATATTTTTGTAATGCTACCTAAGATTTTTTGGCAGTTAGAGAAATCTGAATCAGCTGTTTATTAGATAATATTGATTTCTTGCTAATTTTCTTAGGTATGATCATGGCATTGTTGCTATTGTAGAATATTATAATTAGGAGATACATGCTGAATAATTTAGTGTCAAGATGTCTGTAACTTATAAATAGTTTAGCAAAGAGAGAGAGAGAGAGAGAGAGAGAGAGAGAGTGTGTGTGTGTGTGTGTGTGTGTGTAAAAGCAAAATCAGCAGAGTTAGTTGGTACATCTAGATGAAAAGCTATTTAAACGTTACTGTAGGCTTAAGAATTCTAAAAATACATTTATTTTGAAAGAAGGGGGAGAAAAGAACACTTGCTCACAGGACTATAGATGTAAAGTTTAAGTCAGGGTGCTGGAACTCAATGAATAGATTTGTTATTTCTATTACTAAGAAGTACTGAAAATCTCCATGTGTGGCTGTGCTTTGGAGAATGAGGAAGCCAACCAGGGCTAAGGTAAAACAGCACACAATAGCCGAAACCCGTTTGGCTCAGTGGATAGAGTGTCGGCCTGTGGACTGAAAGGTGCCAGGTTCGATTCCGGTCAAGGGCATGTACATTGGTTGCGGACACATCCCCGGTAGGGGGTGTGCAGGAGGCATCTCTCTCATCGATGTTTCTAGCTCTCTGTCCCTCTCTCTTGCTCTCTGTAAAAAATCAATAAAATATATTTAAAACAAAACAAACAAACAAACAAACAAAAAACAGCACACAATAAGAACAGGTCACCCTACAGAGACCAACAAACTTCCCATAGAAACCACGGCACTAGGCCTGCCTGCCTCTGCTGGGATCACGCTGTTCAGGCTTTGCTTCCCCTGCCTCCTGAACCCAGACTCTGCTACGACAGAAGGAAAGAAACTCCTGTCATGGCTCACGGCCAGTGATCACAAACGGGGGCCACTTCTGGGCCTCCTGAATGTTGTGCATAGGCGGAAAGAACTGGAGGGGCTTTGGGTGAGAGCGGGGGAAGAAAGTGCATGGACTTGGGCATCACCTGGGCCTGCCCTGGAATCAGGCTCTGCCACTTAACTAGTTGTGTGGGCCTAGGCCAGGAGTCGGCAAACCTCGGCTCTCGAACTGCGGTTTGCTACTCTGTTGACTAATGAGTTTGCCGACCCCTGGCCTAGGCCAATTCCTAGATAATGTCACCATTGTCATAAAAATAGCAGCAGTAATAATGATGGCTGACATTTATTGAGCAGTTACTACTGTGCTAAGTAAGCACTTTATGTATGCTCTCAGATGAAGATGATACAGGTGCATCTCATTTTATTGCGCTTCACAGATGTTTGTGTGTTTTACAAATGGAAGGCAAGACCCTCCAGGTGCAAAAAAATTATATATAGCTTGCTTTATTGCAATACTCGCTTTATTGCGGTGGTCCAGAACTGAACCTGCAACATCTCCAAAATATGCCTGCATTATTATTATCCCTGCTTTCATGCCAAGCCCTCGGCTACCTCTGCAATTTGTTAGCTGCTGGCTGTGAAGGCAAATCCCATTCATCTGCCAGGCTCCTCAGGAGGAAGTCATTCCTTCCTCCTCTGCATTCCCTTGCCAACGCCCACTTAGATGGGAGCCTGCTACCCTGCTGGACCCCCTCTCTCTGTACCTCCAGAAGCTGGATCCCTCTCTCTGTACAGGAAGGGGAAAAACTTTCTTCCGGTTTAGTCAGATCCATTTTCCTCACCCCAGATTGACTGTCATCTACCAATAGCAAGGTTCATCACCCTCTCTGGAATTTTAAAAACTTTTTATTTTGGAAACACGCTCTTAAACTTTCAATTTGGAATCTAAAGCCCAGGTGACCACTAGAAGTAAATGCAAGAACTCCCGCTGCGTAGGAGATGGAGAGAACACGGTTGGGTACATTTCATGGATGAAAATGCTCAGTGAGTCATGTGTCTCCCCAGACGCCAGATGAGACTCCCCACCTTACACAGCCCACCAGGATACAGCCTGGCTCACAGTCCTGGGGGCTGCCATTCACTTTCTTCCTGACCTCCTACACCCAACAGCTGTCGTTTTAGTTCTCTTTTGCCCAGCTCCTATCTCCAGGAAGACCCTCGGCTGCTCCATTATCCCCACACTCCACACTGTAGGAGGAGAAGGTATTACCTAACCTCAGGTGACACACATGGACCCACGGGAGTGAGCGGCCCAGGAGCCCATGGGGAAGGGTGGGCTACAGGAGGAAGACCGCCTGCCCTGGCCACCCGACTTACTCATTTGCACAGCAAAGCATCCTCTCACCTGTTACCAGCTCCCAACCACCACCATCCCCCATCCTGTCCCAGAATTTTCCTTCACCCTCTCAGCACACGCTCAGGTTTCATTTTGTGATTTTCTTCAGGCACAAGCATTCCATTTCAACCACTCTTCTTTGTGATAGGTTTCCTGCTCTTAACAATTATAATTTATAAACAAGGGATTTTAAGCCCATATCCTCATTTCATCCTCACAATAGCATAGGAGGATTGGCTTACAGGTTGGCATTCAGAAGGATTGAGGGAGCTGGTTCTGTCACACAACGTGCAAAAGGCAGGTCGTGAAACCTTTTTTTTTCTTTTTCCTTTTTCTTTCTTTCTTCCTCTTCCCTACCACCCGCTCCAGACTAAACCTCTGACGCCCTAGAGCGGTGCTTCCCAAAGTGTGGTACGCGTAAGGTATGGGAAGAGTTTGGTGGGGGTACGCTTTGCACCGGAGTTTGGTGGGGATATGCACTGCACCGTGCTTAGCTGCGCCTAATTCTACGTTCTCATGTGTACGAGGGGTACTCAGCGTTACGAAAATTATAGAAGGGGTACACATATGTCAAAAGTTTGGGAAACACTGCCCTAGGGGGTAGGGGAAAAAAAGCAGGGTCTTTGGATAAGGTGGTTTTGGGCAAATCACTTCATTTCTCTGAGTCTCATGTTCCTCCTGTAAATGGATACGGTGACACCTTTACAGGGTGTGAGAGTTGAATAACCATGTATGTGACGCACCGAGTTCAAGGGTTGGGCTCTTTATTTCTAGTGACAAGGAAAGGAAGGTGTTCTGCATCCACAGGTATTTGCTCACTTGGGCACTCACCCCCTTGCCCAAACCTTAGCCGACACTGGGCTTTCCAAGGCTGGGAGGCGTCCTTTTCATCTTTGTCTCCGCCCCTCCTTCCCCAGTGCTTTTCGGCCCATTTCACCCAGTCTAGCACAGGTTTGCTTCAGAGACATTCTCAGCACGCACTCCCCAGCCCTGGATTCCCCCCTTTCGACTTCACGCGTGTTCACGTCTCACCTAGAGACTCCGCCCCTCTTCGCTCCATCCACCAAAGACTCCTCCCAACAGTCTCGAGCCTCAATTACCCCGGCTTTTTCTCCAATCGCCATCCACTCAGGCTCCTTCCATCTGCTCCGCCCCCTCGCCTCGATAAGCGCCCCCCTCCCCAGCAGCCACAGGAGTTACCATCCCCATCGCAGGAGAATGGCGAGGCTATGGTAGGCTGGATGATTCCTGATGGTAGGACAGGTGCTCTGCTGGACCCGCGCCCCCTCACCGGCTCTCCCTGAGCCCCGCGCCCCCAGTCGCGCCGCACCCACCTCCTGCCCTCGCTCTGCAGCCTCCCCTCCGCGGGCGGCCGGCGCAGCTTTGCGAGAGGGGCGGAGGCCGGCAGCCCCATCCAGGGGCGTGGCAGCCGGGGACCGCGCGCGGCAATCCCGGACTTGTAGTTCTCTCTGGGCTCTTTGTGGTTGGGTGTGCCCAGCGCAAACTACATCTCCCAGGAGGCATTGCAGCGAGCTGTCCAGCTCCTCACCCTGCCCCTGCTTGCGCTCAGGCCGGCTGGCCTTAAAGGGAACGCGGCCTGAGTGGCGGTTCGCGGGTGACCCCCCCCCCCCATTCGGGCTCCGCCCTGTCACCCGCACCTCGCCCCTCCCCCCGCATCGTCTCGCAGCCCCGCAGCCCGGCTGCTGCGCCTCTGAGTCAGGCTTCCTGGATAGAGGCTTGTGCAGAGGGGTGGGGAGGTGGAAGCAGCATCCCAGTTATCTGGGACCTGGCGGAGGGCGTCGTCACTTCGGGGGAAGCAGAGGACCCGCCCTGACCTAGCCAGGCTCAGCCGAGTGCTGCCCGCCTGAGCGCCGCCCAGGAGCCTGACCTGAGGCAGGTCCACTGGGGTCACAGAGGTAAGGGGGCTGGGGCCAGGTGAGCGGGGTGGGGGGAGGGAGTGTCAGCACCCTGACAGAGCGAGTAGGGCTCCGAGGCGCCGGTGTTGACAGGCAGGAGGTCTGGTGCATCTTTGCCTCGCTGTGTGACCTTGGGTGAATACCTTTCCCTCTCTGGGCCTCAGCCTCCTCCATCAATTGTGTGTGAAGGTGATGCAGCCCCTGCCCCATTCAGGGCTGAGGGCACCAGTGCCCAGTACCATGAAGCTTGCCGGCCTTTCGTGGGTCCACAGCACCAGCCTGGACTGGGAGCAGGTGCACTGGTATAATTAAAGGGAGGGGTTGTGCCGAGCCAGGACAAACGGGGAGAACGGAGGAGGTGTCAAGAGTCCACCTCCCGGCTTCTGCTATTCTCAGCATCCGGCCCGGGGTATCCCATCTATTAGAGGGCAGTGAACAGGAGACCCTGACATGTCAGCCTGGTTCACTCCCAGAAAACCTGGGGTTGGGGACAGGTCATCAGAGTATGTGAGGGGTGGCCCCCAGTGGAGGTGGGTGAGTGTGGTGGGTTCCTGAAAAAGGGATATGTGCTCCCACCCTCTTTCCCTTCCCCCCACTCCTCCTCCCCGCCCATACCTCTTCAGTAAGAGCTTTGTCTCCCCCCCCCCCCCAGTAAAACCTCTTTTCACCTTCCCCCCCAGGAGATAGTTTGGTGGCCCAGACGAGGGTCTCCTTCCTTGGATAGAAGTTGTTTAAAAATACAGAGAGAGATCCCCGGAGAAAGGGAGTGGGCAGGGTTGGAGGGATTTTTTGGGGAGTGTGGGGGGAGACATCCAGGTGCCTACCAGGGAGTCCAAGGAGGTAAAATGGGTATGAGGGTCATAGAGAAAGGAAACGGGCTACTCAGTTCTTAGGTGCTGAGCTGGGGTTTGCAGGGGCTACTGTGCTGTTGGGGTAGGGAGAGGGTGAGACCTTCGTGAAGCTCCCTCCCCTGTTTCATGAGATTCCGTGAGCTTTTGACCTGAGGGTTAACCAGGATTAGACATATATATATATTTTTTTCCTTTTTCTTTAGCTTGGTTGTTTGAATCATTTCTAGAATGGTTAGAGCCCCACTTAGACCCACCCAGTGCCTTTTGTAGGGGTGTTCTTGGCTGGTATTTATAATAAGATTTCAGAGTTATAGAAATACAAGACCAGACCTGGACAGATGTGGGGGCAGTGACTGGACCAAGGGTTAGGCCAGTCCCTAGAAGGTACTCTTCTGGTCATATCTTTAGTTTTAGCTCATCTTGCTGTCACATGCCTGTCATTGGTCACTTGGCACTCTTTCCTCTGTGCCTGGTTCTGTGCTGGGCACTGAGCATAGACAAGGGGGATTGGATCTATCTCCTACCAAAGGGAATTCCAGCCTGGGTGGGGGAGAGACACTGAATCCAGTGACACTGCTGAGGGATGAGAGAAGTGAAGAGGGCCTTGGGAAGCCAGAGCTCAAAGACTTGAACTGCAGGGGGACTCAGAAAGGCTTCCCCGAGGAGGGGGCATGTGACCTGGGCATGGGAGGTCAGTCAAAACTTGCCAGGAGAGAAGAGGGCAAGCCCTTTTTCAGCAGAGAGAGTATGACCCAAAGGTAGCCAGCAGGCAAAGCCCACTGCCCAAATTCCTATAGATTCACTACTGAACAGCCTCTGCCAAGTTAATTTCTACCCGAGTCCCACATCAGCTGAGTGTCACAGAAAGGGCTGAATGTCAAGGCTCAGGAGTTCGGGCCTTGAAAGCACTGGAAGCCTTGAGAGTTCTGGCAGGGGCATGACAGCTTACCATGTAATGAGATTAATCTGGCCACGTCGGTAGATGGATGGAACAGATCAGGGAGGGATGAGGAAGCCCGAGTTGGGGCCCAGGGTATGGGGGCAGGGCAGGATATTATAGACACACACACACACACACACACACACACACACACACACTGCTTTGAGGATGATGGAGATGAGTCAGGCTCCGCCATGTAGGAATAGAGACCAGTCAATACTCAACAGAAATGCATTGGGTTGGATAAAGGGACCTGTGCTTCCAGGGGAGGGGTTGTGATTTTCCCATGTGCTAACTGTGTGGCCCGGAGAGGGTTGGCTATTGCTGGGACTCTCAGGCTGTCCTGCCAGCAGTGAGAGGGATAAGCCCAGGGCTTGGGTAGGAGCAGCAGCATTGGCTGAGAAAGGCTAAGGGGCAGGAAGGCGGTCATCTTCCATTTTGGGATTCAGAGGCTGAGAGAAGGTGAAAGAACACCAACCACAGGGGCCACATGGAGGGCAGTGGCTGGGCTGGCTAGAAGCCTCAGCTCTTCTGCAGGACACATGCCTTTATTGGAGGACAGACTGGGGAGGGAATGAGGAGGTTGGTGGGGAGCGTATTGCACTAGTCCAGGCAAGAAGGAGAGAGGAGTTCATCTTGAGTTGGGTTGGGCTCAGGGAGAGACTGCAAACAAAAATTGACAGTGAGGACTAGGGCATGAAATTCCTTGTAGAACCGGTGAGATCTGGAGTGTCTCCTTGTCTCCTTCCCTGACAGTGTGCCCTAGGAGTAGACTCATGACTCACGCCAAGTAATTCAGGTACAGGCATACCTGTTTTATTAATTTTGTTTTATTGTACTTCATAGATGTTGTGTATCTTACAAACTGAAGACAAAAATGTTGCAACTTGCTTTATTGCAATATTGGCTTTGCTGCAGTGGTCCGGAACAGGTGGCCCAGGAGGAGACTCATGACTGCCCCAGCCTTCATCTTTTATACCTTGTCCCCGCCCTGCAGTGGTAGGTGGAATGGTCTCCATTTTCCAGGTGAGAGGGCTGAGGGGCCTGGCCAGGACTCACCCAAGGTCACCTGGTGATTCTGAAGCAGAGAACATGGGTCTCGTGATTGTAATGCAGGCTCTTGTGAGGGAGGTCACGGCTGCCGTTTGCTGCTGTTTGGCGTGGGGCAGCTGTCTCCTGGGCCAGAGCCAGAGTCCACAGGCCTCTCCCGGTCCAGCGCCTAGAGGAGAAATCTAACCTCCCCGAGGGTGTCAGCCTCTTCCTCCCCCAGGGAAGCCGAGTACAGGTTCTCATCTCACCTGCTCAGGCCGTGCTCCTCTCCCTGGCTGATCCTCTCCTTCCCCGTTCATGCCCCAGGGATAGCAAGCCTTGTCCTGCCTCCCTTCAGTGGCCCATGCTGGGGTCAGATGAGGTTCAAGCCCTTAGAACTTTTTGCATGAATGCACTGGAGACATTAGTGAGTGGGTTTGTTGGTGGCCATAGTGACCCCAGACTGCTTGCATGACAGTCAGGGAAGGTAGGCAGGCTTGCCCGGAGCGGCCAGGCCATGGACTATACAGGGCTGGCCTTGGAGCTCAGAGCCCTCACAGAACGGCTCCACTGACTGAACGCTCGGCTTCCAGGCACAAACCACCTGAGGCGGGTGGTATCAGGTAGAACAATGTGAAATTGCCAATATCTGATCCTTCACTTTCATGTGGTTCCACCTGATATCATCTACCCCCATTTTACAGAAAAGAGGCTCACGATGGGATTTACTGGAGGTCACACAATGAGTTGCAAGACTAGAATAAGATTTGCTCAAGGTCACACTGAAATGCAGACCTCATCATTCCTAGTCTGACTTTCCACTTCTGGAGACTTCCCTCCTCCCAGAACTCCATTTCTGCCAGCCCCAGGTCCCCCTCCTCCACAGGTGATGCCACTATCTGATCGCCCGGGTTTCTCCTTGGCTGCCTGAGTGCAGACGTACCTTGGCGGGATTGCAGGTTCTGTCCTAGACCACCGCCATAATGCCAGTATCACAACAAAGCGAGTTGTAATATTTTTGCTGGTGGAGGGTCTTGCCTTCAATTTGTAAAATACACAACATCTGTGAAGTGCAATGAAGCAAAGTGCAATCAAACGCGTATTCCCGCACCTGAATTACCTGGCATCCTGGGTTGAAAGCACCTTACGGTACATCCTAAATTCACTAGCCGGGAGGGCAGGGATAGGGCCTTAGGGGGATGGTCTTTAAAGGAGGTTGGTCACAGCCCCTGCCTAGGAAATAGAGGCCCAGGGCTGAAGGGAGACCAGTTTTCAAAGATGCCTTCAAAGGCCTTTTGAGATTGTGCCTTGCCTCGGCACTCTTTGCCAACACCTCTGCCTCCACCATCAGACCCGATGCTCCTAAGGGCAATAACTGCTTCTGACGTGAAGGGGACTGACGTTTTCTGAGCACTTCCTTGTGCCTAGCACAGTGGTCGGCAAACTTATTGTCAACAGAACCAAATATCAACAGTACCACGATTGAACTTTCTTTTGAGAGCCAATTTTTTAAAAAACTTAAACTATATAGGTAGGTACATTGTTATTAAGTTAATTGGGGTACTCCTAAGCTGTAATGGAGGAAAAGGCCACAGGTGGGATGGAGGGTGAGCGATGAATTCACACCCGGAGGTCCAGGGCTGTTCTCACTAAGGACAGGGTGTTTGTGGTGGGCTGTGAAGGAAAAACAGAAACGTGCTTGGTTGTGTGAGTGTGCGGTGGTAGTGGAGATCGTGGGAAATAGGACGTTTGAGGCAAAACGCACAGCAAACACAGAAGTGGAATCTGTCAAAGGTGCAGATCATTTGAGAAAGAGCAAGAGTCAAGTGTGCAGGGGATCTCGGGAA